AAATACTCAGGATATTGGAGCCATCAAAGTGCATTTAGAACACTTTGGAAATATTGGAAAAAGAGCTTGTATTAAATTATTTATAATACAAATAAAAACCAATGTATTATCTCAATTGATCTTGATATTTTAGACTGACCGGAGGCCGTATTTCTACATACCCACGATAGACAGATAAAGAAATCTAATTGTCCTTCAAATGAAGCATATCTGGCAGCCTTTTCCATTGCCCGCCTCGTATACTTCAGGTCAAACTTAAATATGCGAAGTATAGTGGTATATGATATTGTATTTCCTCCATTGGCAAGTTGTACTTGTCTCTGGAGTTCATCGAGATATATTTCTGGATTAGCTATATACATGGCCTCAACTTGGGCAATTAGTTCTGTGGTACGCAACAAATCATCTCGCCTCTTTCTTTGTTTGGTCACCTTTACAGGACAACCAGTGTTTAGCATGTTTTAACTATTCTACGTGTTGAACTCTCTGAAACTCTAAAACAATAATCGTATACCATCGTAGGTAAGATGGTAGAAATACCAAGCGGAAATAACCAGCCAGGCTTCATTCTCTGAAATCGCCATTATTAAATAACACTAGGACTAGGCGAGACGTGTGCGTAGTGTGATGTCTATATTCTCTATTTACTAACATCACATGTAAATGAAGCGGAACCGGTTGGGGGGCTTGGATCCGTGTGTCGTCGACAAATAAATAAAATCGGAGGAGCTTGGGCCGAAATTTTGCTAGTGTGACAGCCAAAGAATCCATGTAGATAATAAAGAGCTGGGGGCCAACGATTGAGCCTTGTAGTATGCCATTTGTTCTATGAAATAGATGCGAGAGCATGCCGCGGTATGTCACTCGGATAGCGACCCTCTAAAATAGCGCGCGGAGGCAGTTGATCCAGTTTTCGGTTATTCCAGCGTGGCGCTAGAGTACCCACAGGCGCAGGAGAGCAACCTTGTAGTATGCCTTGGTAATGTCCAGACAGACGGTCTTTCCAATTCTCTTCCGACGGTGTCTCAGATTCCATGGCGGCGAGTGCTTGGGTATGGCAGGAGTATCGTGATTTGAAGCCAGCGTGGGTTGAGTGGCTTGTATTCAGATTAAGAAAGCACTTCTCAAATATGAGTCTGACTTTTTGCGTTAGCGTGATAGGGCGGAAGTCGGCGGGGGAGGTGATATCTGCATCGGCATTTTTTGGGTGCGCTGTCAGGAGGGTGCAATTCAGGGCGGTAGGGAAGATACCCGCCTTTAGTAGCTCAGTGGATGCTTCGGCAAGGAGCCTAATCAGTGGGCTATTGGCGTCCAGGCGTCCTAGTGTCCTGTGCTCGGTAGAACGCTCCACTGCGGCCTTCAGAAGGAGGATGTGGATTCCGTCAGGGCCAGGCCCCTTATTAAGATAACGTAGAATAGCCTCCATTACATCGTCGGGGCTTTAGATAGTAATAGATTTTTTAAAAAGTATTTATATCCGCCTACAATAAATACCGGGGAGATTGTTCACTGTCCAGGTTCTTGTTCAGAACCTTGTTCCTTTGCAATTTTTTTGTTGTTGAAATTTAGTACTGAGAGCCAATGGAATCTGCTTTATATTGGATTTCTCTCAAAATATATAATTCTGAAAAAAACGAACCCGCCATAAAACACTATTAAAAAAAAAGAAATACAAAAATATATGGCGTCCCATTGGCTTCTATTTTAAAATTTTGTTATTGGGCCACTGGCCAGGTCGATTTCCGCCAACTTTTCAACCCCGTTCCCTAGGTCTGCGATTTTGGGAACCTCCGCTAAGCAATGATATCCGGTCAAAATACCTGGAGGCTACAATATGGGTACGGAATATGAGTTCCAACTTTAATGTTAACTAAACCGATCTTTTTTTACGTTGCAACGTAAACCGTTACGAGGTTAGCTCATATAACATGTTACAAGTCAACTCTCACAAGTCACACAAGTCAAAATGTTTTACTCGCAAGTCACAACACAAGTTGACAACTCACAAATCTTATCCTGTATTCCTGGCACAGAAAATTCAAATACTGCCACAGCCCAGTGAGCCCACAGGCCACAGGGCACGGAGTAGTATTCAGAGTAGAATTGAGTGATAGTTATGGCTTATTCTGTTTAAATATTAAATAGTAACGTATATAAATAGATGAGTTAGACCGCTATTTAATATTTACAGAACCCGGGGTATTGGTCAAACCGTCGGGCGTCGGCGTCAGAAACTTCAAGCACTTCTTGTGTTGTCAGAGCAGAGTAAAGCTCTATGAGATACAGAATCTGAATTACAGATTCTGATTAAAAGAGAATTCTCGGGGTCCCGAGAAAAAATTCTCTTTCATTTGCTTTTCATCCTTACTCCTTAGTAGACTGTAGAGTGGAGAGAGAGGGTCTCTCGGAAGAAATACATACTCTCCTTAGAGTAGAGACTACTCTAGAGATTTTTGTTCATTATGGATTTTATTATTATTATAATATATTACACGACTGTACATATATGTAATTATATATAATTTTAATTTAACATTGTTAAAAAAAAACATAAACAAATAGCCGCATAAATATGAATGCTGAAAGTGTACTTTTTTATTTAAAAACAAAACAGAACCCATTTTGTTTTGTTTTGTACATTTTTTCAACTTTTGAAGGCTGAATCGCTGAACTTTGAAGCATGTGATTTTGATTGTTTTGTCTGAAGGATTGCATTCTTTTATTTCCAAAGTAGGACTTTTGAAAACTGCGGTCATGCATAGCTTGCTAAAAATGAGTACACAGGCGCTGACGATTTGATCTCTCGCCCAGAGCCTCTCTCTTGCTAGTAGTTATTCAACTATGTAGTAGTTTTCTCTCTATAGAGAGTAAATAGTATTCAATGTAGAGCTAGGTACGTACCATCGCCCAAATATGAATGCGTATAAAAGCTAGTGAAATGAGTCTTCAAAAATCAGAACCTCAAATACATTATCTGAGAGAATTGATAGAATGGCTTTTTCTAAGATTACCATTTTACTTTGTGCGGCATGTGTCGTCTCAGCCACCGGTCTGAGCAGACGCCAAGAAGCTGACTTCACCTACATCTACAATGAATTTGATTACCCAATGGTACGGGATGGCACTTTCCTAGAATGGGACGGTACTGGCGAGATAGAGGGGATTAGGTTCACTGAATACCCATACGAAGATGAAGCGGGAGAGTTCAAGACAGAGGAAGGAAAGTGTCTGGTTGTAGTGGAAAAGAACGAATTTCCCGTTGTCGAATTGGGAGAATGTGCGGATCAGCTATTCACCCCCTTGAGTGAATCCAGAGAGCTTCGTATTGAAAGTTCATTCATTGGTGTTTGTGCAGACGGAGATAACGGTGGATATGTGACTTGTCCCCTTGAGGAATCGGAGGATTTGTGTGTGAATGGCGATGAAGGATATATCGCTGTCCGCCCATGTAACGGCTACATCGCGCGGTTGCACAACCAGAAGTATAGAGACGGATCTGTGGACGAGACAGAAGCTACAGGTGAGACTGGAGATATGACAACGGCCGTACAGAATTCATTTGACTATTTCATGACCTGGTCTGGCAGATTTTTGGAGTGGAAGGGCCTTGGAGAGACTGTAGAATTCATTGAGTACCCTGCGACAGGCGAGGCTGGCGTGTTCAGAACTGCAAATGACACCTGTTTGGTCATTCGTGATACGAACAATTTCCCCTCGCTTGTGTTGGGTGAGTGCGACTTCCAGCAGTTTATGCCCTCAGAAGACAATGCACTGAAGATTATCAATCCCCACATTGGTGTCTGTGGCGATTTCGATTCTGGGTTTGTGAGCTGTCCAGTAGAAGATTCCACTGATCTCTGCGTAGATGATGATGAGGGCTATGTGGCTGTGCGACCCTGTACCGATTACATCATAAAGCTCAGTAATCCTAAGTAGACTGGAAGCGGATTTGACTTTAATCGCATTTGTGATTTGTAGTTGACCGATCTAAATAAAACTTTGATATCAGTGTTGCCGTATAGCAAATTTAAATAGACACATGTATACAGAAAAAGCATCAGACGCATAGGCACTCCGATTAAAAATGCATTGTAAATTTTATTCAGCAGTTTGTCGTACAGAATATCATTCGTACATACAGGTTTGCTTCAGTGTTTGCTTGGTAGGTTTGCATATTCTTGTGTAGATACACTCTTACAACACTTACATAATTGAACACTCATAATCCGAGATTGTGAGATTCAGGATTGTATACACACACACACAAACAAAAACGCAAACATGTATATTTTATATATATATATATACATATATATATAAATATATATAC